GTGGGGGGGCTGTGAGCTGCCCCGGCTGACGTGGCCCTTCCCCTCCCAGAGCTGGTGCGAGAGACCACGGCCGGGCACCTGGCCTTGCTGGTGGCCAAGAATGTTGCCATGTTCCCGGGCAACCAGGAGCGGTTCTCGGAGGGTCACATTGACGTCTGGGGGATTGTCCATGACGGGGGGGAGGTCATGGCGCTGGCCTTTCTGCTGCCCTTCCTCCTGCGGCACCACAAGGTAGCTTGGGCCCCACGGCGTCGGGCAGGGGTCTGGGGCCATCCCCACCAAGCCGTGCCCATGCCTCCCTCCCTCGCAGGTCTGGCGCAAGTGCAAGATGCGTATCTTCACGGTGGCACAGATGGATGACAACAGCATCCAGATGAAGAAGGACCTGACCACGTTCCTGTACCACCTGCGCATCACTGCGGAGGTGGAGGTGGTGGAGATGGTGAGTGCTGGGATGGGGGCATGTGCTACAGTCAGGGATGCTGTGCATGGGAGAGCCAGACAGACCTTGCCACGGGGACACACCACCACGGGGTGACACACACCACCATGGGGACATGCAGCACCATGGGGACATGCAGCGCCATGGGGACACATAGGTCCACAAGCACATGCAGGGCCAGGCTGCGAGCAGTGGGTGCGGCTCACCCTGCCCCACGGTTTCTCCTGTCCCCCCCGCAGCACGAGAGCGACATCTCTGCCTACACTTACGAGAAGACTCTAGTGATGGAGCAGCGCTCCCAGATCCTCAAGCAAATGCACCTCACCAAGAATGAGCGGGAGCGGGAGGTGAGGATGCACAACAGCCTGGATGGGATCCAGCCACCGTGGTGGCTGTGGTGCCAGCCGACGTGGTGGCTGGGGTGCCAGCCGAGCAGCCCCGCGGCTCTGCGCACTCATCCTTCCAGGGAGCCGGGGCTGCAGGCTGGGGTCTGCCCAGGCAAGCCCTCTTCTGCCCCACTCCCCTGGCTGACCCTGTCCTGCACAGATCCAGAGCATCACAGATGAGTCCCGTGGCTCCATCCGGCGCAAGAACCCGGCCAACACGCGCCTGCGCCTGAATGTCCCC